CCTCCCTCCCTTCCTTCCTTCCTTCCTTCCTGGTTTTTTGAGACAAGGTTTACTCTGTGAAACAGTCCTGGCTGTCCTGGAACTCACTCTATAGACCAGGCTGGCCTCGAACTCACAGAGATCCACCTGCCTCTGCCTCCCGAGTGCTGGGATTAATGGCGTGCGCCACCACCGCCTGGCTTGTTCCTTTAAGACAGGGTCTCACCACTTAGTCCCGACTGGCCTGAAACTGATGACATTCACCTGCCTCTGAGTTCCCCAGAGTGCTGGGATTAAAGGCGTGTGCCACCACACCCAGCCTAAGCAGTGCTCTTAAGGACACCTACTCAGTAGCTGTGTGAATCAAAACTTAGTCACAGCTTTCTCTTTGTTAAGTATCAAACGTAGACTTATTTGTGACATGCACATGTTTACGGCTGCTTCTGATGCCCAGGCCAGCTGCTGCTGCTCTGAACCTTGAAATATCCTAGCCCCTCTCAGAGGTGTTTCCTTAGGTGTGAGCACGCTCTTCCCTATGGGGGTGAGAATTCAAAGCCCAGCTGTGGCCTCCATCACCTAGCAAGCAGTGCAGCTGTTACTTTGAGGTCTTCTGTTGTTATAGTTTATGTTCTGCTCAGTGGGAGTGTTCATACCACCGTTCCGTCCCCAGCACTGGGGAAGAAAGGAAGGAAGAAACGTAATTTCCCCCCTCATATTCCAGAAAGAAGAAATTAAAAAGAATATATTCATCATATTTTATCAAGGAGAACAGCTCAGGCTGAAAATCAAGAAGATCTGTGACGGGTGAGAGAGACTGCCATGCTCTGTTGTGGTGATCGGGGTCGGGATGGGGTAAAGAGCTGTGCCGAGCAGAAGGACGTGCTGGACGGCTAGGGCCGTAGAATAACTTTCCGAAGACCGTTTAAGATGATGCTGGAAGTGCAACCGACTGTCAAGAGTTGTGAGGATGCAAACAGGGAGGGGGGAACTAACGAAGGTAACACAAAGCAGACACAACCTTTTCAGGTTAGAGCTTGTTCTTTTCTCGCTGCTGTTGAGCGGGCAGACTGGGGCTGGAGCTGGAGCGTGGGGGGAGGGCACCTGCCTGACGTGCCAGAGGCCCTGAAAAAGAATAAACAGAAGAGGAGAGATCACCATGGCTCAGCTGTTTCTGTAGAACAGTCTTAATTTTACGTGTGTGGGGGTGGGGGGTGTTCCTGGGGATTGAGCCAAGGACCTCAACTCATGCTAGGAAAGCATTCTCCCATTGACGTATACCCCCAGGCTGGCCTCGACTTCCCTCTATGGAAGCTTTGAGCTTGTAATCCTCCTGCCTCATCGGCCTTCTAAGTGCTGGGATAATAGGCATGTGGCACCGTGCCCAGCTGTTGTGAATCATTTTCTAACGACTGCACAGGAGGCCATTTTAGCAAAGCCTTGGCCATTTGAGTGGTGTCAGTCAGTCCGTGGTGGCCTCGTGGGAAAGGGATTGTGGAAGCCTTTCTGTAGTAACTCGTGTGTGTCCTTTCAATGTGTTAAACACAGGTTTCGCGCCACCATCTACCCCTGCCCAGAGCCTGCAGCCGAGCGCAAAGAGATGCTGGCCAGTGTCAACGTGAGGCTGGAAGACTTGATCACTGTGAGTGAGGGCTTCAGGCCATGAGCTGATGGGGGCCTTTCCTCCCGAGTCCTGTCCCGGGGCCCTGCCTGGAATGTTTGCTTTGCAATTCTAGTTGGAACTGCAGCCGATTGCACAATTAGAAAGCACTGTTCAGTGAGCCGGGGCTGCCAATTCTGCATGCCTGTCACACGCTGCTCAGCTTAGAACGGAGCACAGCCCTGGTTTACCTTCAGGCAGCTGCCCTAATCTGATGAAAGGAATCCTTTATGGCCAGCCTTTGCCTGATGAGTCTGCAACCCAGCTAATCAGCGACGGAGTGGAGCAACCAGTTTGCCCGTACTGAATTGTTGTACTGATTAAGGACTGTGAAAACTCTGAGTCTGGTTTGTCCTTGTGAGCGCTTGAGGCATCCCAGGTACATTTCCTCGGAAAGGTCTGTCATCATCCCCAGTGACACCACGTATGTCTGCCATTAGAACGCCCTTGAACAGCAGCAGCTTGGAAACGGGCTGTTAAAGTCCTCTGGCTCCATCTGACGATGGCGTATTCTGTCCCAGGGCTGTCCATTGTAACTTTCCATGCCCCAGAATTGCTCTGCAGCCCACTCTAGCCAGTGCTGGCATTATGGGCCACAGGTGGCTGGTGAGCTCTTGAAACATGGCTGGTGATACCAAGGGACTGAGTTTTGATTGCTATTTAAATTTTGTGCACGCACGAGTGTGTTTAGGTGTGTGCACAGGTGCATGTGTATGTGTGCACATGTGCAGAAGCCAGAGGACAATTTCTATTTCAGATGTTATCTTCAGGGATGCCAGCTGCCTTCTTTGAGACAGGGCCCCTGATTTTACCAGTGCTCCCCGTTAGGTAGGCAGACTGGCCAGAGAGCCCCAGGGATCTGGTCTCTATCCCCTCAGCCTTGGATTACTAGCATATACCACGGTGAATTTTGAAGTGAATTCTGGGGAATCAAACTCATGTTTTCATGTGCGAGGCAAGTACTTTACCAGCTGAGCCTTTGCGCCAGACCACTCTTTAATTTTTATTGAATTTAGATTCAATAAAATTGAGTAAATTCTCAGAGATGAGGTTTTATTCATCTCTGAGACCGGGTCTTGCTGTATAGCCTTAGGTGGGCTGCTATCTGTTACATAATCCCGGCTTGTTTTGAGCTCATGTCAATCCTCCTGCTTCAGTCTCCTGAATGCTGGAGTTACAGGTATATGCCACAACACTTGGCCTGTGTGTTTTAAAAGCCTTTGGCCAGCAGGTGTTCCTTTTGTGGAGAGTGCACAGTGTTCTTGTTAGGGTGAGCTTCATTGTAAAGTTAGTGAACACTTATCTGTGCCAAGGTGGTCTTGTCTCCTCGTAATCCTCAGGCTGGGTTGCATTATACCCTCAAGTGACCCTTCAAGACACATGTACGGGCCTGTGTATTACAGGTCTCACGTTCATGGTCTGTCTTTTATAATATAGGAAGGTGACTAAAAAGATGACCCTATTTTATTTGTCAAAGCAGGAAATGTAATTCCATCAAATGAATTTTTATGAGCACCAAGCTGCCCATTTGTGGCCTCACTTGGCATTTATCGAAGGATTTATTACGGAGAATGATTGGTCTGTCCTGGAGACATTGTAACATGACCAAAAATGGGTAGGTTCAAGTAATAGACATTGCTTCTCCCACACACACTTCTTTCGGGAGGCCAGCGGTCCAAAATCAAGGTGCCACCCAGGCTGGGCTCTTGCTGAGAAGGCTGAGGGAGGAGCCTTCCTGCCTTACCCAGTGTCTGGTGGCCACTGGCGACTTGATGCCCTTGGCTAGTGGGTGCATCATTCCCATCGCTGCCGCATTCCCATGGTGTACTTCTTGGGTGCCTTGATCTCTAGATTCAGGGTCACGCTAATCTAGTTCAACCTAGAGCAGGAGGAAGAGGAAGAAAATAGCTTAGAGAGAAGGAAGAAAAAGGAGAAAAGGCCTTTGCTCATAGGGTCTAGCCTTGGCTAGGGGAGACAAACTGATGACGTGCTCTTTCCAGGGCAGGAGACGCCGCTGTGGTGGATGAACCTCCCTTTTTGCCGTCATGTCAAATAACCCCACGGATGTTCATTGCTTTTCTGTTTTTGTTTTTGCCCAGGTCATCACCCAGACAGACTCTCACCGGCAGCGCCTACTGCAGGAAGCAGCCACCAACTGGCACTCCTGGGTCATCAAGGTGCAGAAGATGAAGGCCGTCTACCACGTCCTGAACATGTGCAACATCGACGTCACCCAGCAGTGCATCATCGCCGAGATCTGGTTCCCAGTAGCAGACACCAAGCACATCAAGAGGGCCCTGGAGCAGGGCATGGTGGGTGGCAGGGGCAGCTGGGAGGAAAATTATATCCGACCTCCCTGACCCCTGTTCATCCTGTCTGGGGTTGTGAACTTAACAGGTGACTTAGTGGTAGAATTGTCTCTACCGTGTACCTCTAGTACAGAGAGAGAGAGAGAGAGAGAGAGAGAGAGAGAGAGAGAGAGAGAGAGAGAGAGAGAGAAAGCGCCTCAAACTCTATGTAACTGAGGATGAACTTAAACTTTTTTGTTTTTTGAGACAGGGTTTCTCTGTGTGGCCCTGGCTGTCCTGGAACTCACTCTGTAGATCAGGCTGGCCTCACACTCATAGAGATCCACCTGCCTTTGTCTCTGGAGAGCTGGGGTTGAAGGCGTGCGCCGCCACTGCTGGCTGACCTTGAACTTGTGACTCCAGGCATGCATCACTACACCTGATTTATTCAGTGCTGCGGACTGAGCCCAGGGCCTGGAGATGCTAGGCAGGCACTGACTGAGCTACGTCCCCAACCCCTTTACCTTTGCTTCTTAACTCAGTGCTCAGGCATAGAAGAGAAACTCCTTTCCCCCAGCAACTGAAAATTGCCACCATTTCTGCACATTTTGAGTGCTCATAGAGAGACCAGGTGCCGCCTGTCACCTTAGGGAGACATAGGCTAGCTAGAGAGACAAGCAGCCAAGCCTCTGTCCTAAGGCACACGCGGTTCAGCATGCCTGCTGCAGCACGGAGCACATGCATGGTGTTTAGTTACTACCTCCTGCTGCACTTTCACTGGGCACGGTGGATCCAGAGCTCCCTGGGTAGACAGGGCCTCACCCCAGTAGATTTTAGTATTTATTTCTGTAGATAAGTGCTCTATCTGCATGTGCAACTTTATGCCAGAAGGGGGCATCAGATTCCACTAGAGATAAGTGTGAGCCACCATGTGGTTGCTGGGAGTAGAACTCAGGACCTCTGGAAGAGCAGACGGTGCTCCTAACCACTGAGCCATCTCTCCAGCACCCCCAGTAGACTTTCTAAAATGAGAGATGAGCACTGCACATGTCCTGAGTATGTGCTCACAGGCAGCTGTGAATGGTGGGTTAGGGAAATGAAGGACGTCACGGCAGAGAAGCTGGTTCACCTTTGACCTCATGGAAGAAAGAGCGAGCCCCAGCCCAAAGAGTGCCTGAGGGCCGACGCTTGGTGCTGGGTATGTGAGAATAGCAGAGATGCCATCCAAGCCCAGGCAGGAGGATGCCTCGTGCCATGCAAAGCCTCACAGGGCTTTAGGGCCAGAGTCAACCACAAGTGGGATTGGGCTCTGCGGTGTCAGCAGGGTGGACCGGTGGGTTCCTGCTGGAGGATGTGATACCCTTACTCAGATCACTGCATGGAGTATCAGGGTGGTGACCCTATCCGGTTGAGGGGCGGGGTGGAGGGAAGCTGGTCTGACTGATAGAGATCTAGCTGGGAAGGCGGGAAGACTTCCTGCTAGGCAGGTGATACATCTGGTAAGGGGGGTGGGCACGGCTCACGGCAGCTGTTGCCAGACAAGCCCCTGAGCAGCTGGCAATCCAAGCAGATGTTGCTGAGTACCCTGGGGATACGGTGAGGCAGCGCTTTCAGACCGAGGGGTCTAAAGGTGGAGCTTGTGGGGAACATGGCCCAGGAGGGGGGGGGGAGCTGTGCGTGCTCCTGCTGAAGGGAGTGGAGGCAGGGAGAGCAATCGTGGGTCAGAGTCACCCTCAAGTGTCGTTCCCAAACCACACACAGGGGGCAGTTTAAAATGGTGCATTTTCCTCCCATGGGACTGAGCAGGGGTGCTTTCTGGAGGAATCATGAAGCAGAGGGCTCAGTGAGCAGGGAAGGGGCGGGGTGGGTGCAGGGAGAGGGCAGGGCTGGTGTAGGATGGAGGATGAGGATCCTAAGTGGCCCTCAGAACAGTGTAGGGGGGGGGGGAATAGGACATTTTATTACATTTAACTTGTATGTGTGGGGAGGTGCGCACATGTGGAGGTCAGAGGACAACCTGTCTGAGTTGATTTTCTCCCTCCACCAGGAATTGAACTCAGATCATCCGTTTGGTGGCAAGCACCCTTACCTACTGAGCCATTTTATTCCATGCCAGAGTGGCCTGCTCCCGTCTGTATTTTAGGAACATTTTCACTGCAGAATGGGGACAGCTGGGCCACCAGGGAGGTGGTGCCACACCAATGGCGTGAGAATTAAACTCAGAATACAGCCGAATGGCGGAGCATGCCTGTAATCCCAGTATTCAGGAGTTAGACCCAGAAGGATCTGAAGTTCAAGGTCATCCTCGAGTAACAGCTACTTCAAGGCCAGCCTCGAGATACAGGAGACCCTGTCCCAATGCCACCCTGTGTCATCCTAAGGCTAGGCTTCCGACAAGGCTGGCTAGAGCAGTTTCTTCAACCCCTGAGATATCACAGGTGCTTCCCCAGACAGGCGTGGGAGGCGCCGTGTGAGTGGGAGGCAGAAGGGAGTGTGAAGAGAGACCAGGTGCTGGGTACTGTCGTCATCGTCAACAATCCCTTCCCTTGTGGCCTCTGCCAGCCTGTGCCAGCTGCCCTGGGGTGTGCACAGGAAGGAGAGGAGGTTTTGGGGCTGCTAAGGAGGAGATTCCTAGCCCCCCACAACGATACAGCGGGAAACACCACCACCTGCCTTATGACCCTGCTGTGCCTCAGTTTCTGAACTGGGATTTGTCTTGAGGTCTGCCTCCGGGAATCAGGTGAACGGAGACTAAACTCTGCCCTTCAATTGGTGGATTCCAAGAGCACCTCTGCCCATCACTATGGGAGTTTCGGGTGGTGGATGGAGCATGCGGAGAGTTGGGAAGGCTTGGGCAAATGGAGGTGGTGCCTTTCATCGCCTTGGCTTCCATGAGGAAGTGAAGATGTCAACCTCCTAAAGAAGCCTTTACTGTGAGCCTAAGGTGTTTGGACTTCACTTTTCAGGCCGTAGGAGCCTGTGAAGAACAATGCCTTCTGTTTCCTTTATTCTAGATGGGGCAGGGCAGTGTGGGTGGGTTAGTGAATCAACGGGAGGCACCTAGGCTGGAGATGGTGAGGCCTGGCTAGGGTGGCAACTTAGAGAACAGGAGTCAGGATTCAGGAGGGAGAAGTATTGAGCTGGAATGGTGGCCACTAAGTCAAGAGAAGGGAACGAAATGGTGGCTACAGAACCTTAAGAATCTGGGAAGGTGGAGGACCTAGCCAGGGCAAGTTGGTGGTGATTCAGCTGTAGGAGTGTGGATTTTCTAGAGCTGCTGAGTCAGGAAAATCTATCGGGCAGTGAGAAGAGAGTGAGGGAGAAGTTGGTGCTACTTGAAAGATATAGATGAATTATCAAAATGGTTGACCTTCTGTAGAAAAGTGAAGAGAGGGAAGAATAGAGAGAGTGTGTGTGTGCGCATGCGTGTGTGCTGGGGGATGGAGGATGGCCAGAGAACCAGGACAGGCTCTGCCCTTTTGATACACTCCTGTAAGAAATATTAGGTAAGTATTGAGACACATTCACTTTTCGTAGGTGGTTTCGTGGTTCTCAGGGAGGTCAAGAAATGTCCCAAGTTCATGTCCAGATCTGGGGGCCAGCACTTAGCTCTCATATATACACATGGGTCACCTGTTCTTTCTACAGGAACTCAGTGGCTCTTCCATGGTCCCCATTATGACAGAAGTGGAGACTAAAACAGACCCTCCCACCTTCAACAGGACCAATAAGTTTACAGCTGGCTTTCAGAACATTGTCGATGCGTATGGTGTAAGCAGCTACAGAGAGATCAACCCAGGTAAGGGTCTGACGCCTTGCACAATGAGGTAGCATGAAATTGAAAATTACTAAGGTGTGCCTCTCAGTAAATGCAAGAGGTGAATCCAACCACACCATGACATTCTACAACCTCATTTGGTTTCCTGATGCCCTGTATTGTCATTTGTAGATGCTAACTCATGAACGATTTTTTTTTTGTCTTTACCCCTCCTTGAGTATTTTTTTGTTTAGAGTCAGGTTCCTGTATGTAGCCCAGGGTGGCCTTGAACTCATGATTCCCTGTGTTTCCATCTCCTGAGCACTGAGTATACAACTGTGTGATACCACACCTGGATGTTTAAAATGGCAGCCAACCCTAGTTTTCATTTTCTTCTCCAAGTCAGCCAAGGCCCTCTAGCATCTTTACAATCCTGGAGTCATTGTCTGAGAAAGGACTTGGGATCAGGAGAATAGATCCTTAGTCCCCTGCCTTGCTCTGTGTGACTATGATCACCTGGTTAGTAAAATAGAGGGGTAGACCAGATGCTCCGTAGCCGCACAGAGAACAGTGCGGTTCTCCAGCCTGAGTCTTCTCTAACTTGTGACCAATAATTTGGGGCTTCAAGGGGTCACAATGCTGGTGAGTAACTGCTGGTGTTGTATCTGTGGTGGAGACAGACCAAAGATGGTATTGTAGAAGTCAGAGGTAGGCTTTCAGTCCTGTCAGCACTTTCATGACACTGGCTGACTACCTCCATAGACAGCTTACAGGAGATGGGGTTATATTAGTACTTTTCTGTTGCTGTAATAAAATGCCCTGACAAAAAGAAACTTAGGGAAGCAAAGGTTTATTTTAGTTCATGGTTCCAGAGGGACAATATATCATGGCAACAGAAGGGGCAGGCAGAGCATTAGAAGCAGGAAGCTGGGGGACCACATTTTCATCTGCACACAGGAAGCGGAGAAAGAAAACAGTGGGGCAAGGCTATAAAATCTAAAGTCCATGGAAGAAGTGACATACTTCTTCCATCAAGGCTCCACCTCCTAAAGGTTCCATAATCTTCCCAAATAGTCCCACCAACTGGAGAGCCAGTGTTCAAATATGTGAGCCTGTGGGGGACGTTAGTCCTTCAGACCACCACAGGGAGGGAGGATTTATTTTAGCTCACAGCTTTAGAGGGTTCAGTACAAGGATGCTTGGTCCCTTGGGCAGAGCATCATGGTTGCAGAAGCATGCTAGGGAGGAGAAACAAGAACCGAGAAGAGGGGAATGCGGGAAGGGGGCAAGGCAAGGCAGAATCTTACTCTAGTTGGCTTTCTGATGCTGTGATAAACACTATGACCAAAAGCAACTCGGGGAGGAGAGGGTTTAGTTCAGCTTATAGTTGTAGTTCATCATGAAGGAAAGTCAGGGCAGGAACTGAAGCAGAGACCATGGAGGAATGTAGATGTAACCAACCGTCTTATTAAATAAGAAACACAGAAACAATGTAAAAGAGAAAGCCGAGAGGTCAGAGCTCAGAGCTAAAATCTCACCCTTCCTCCTGCTGTCCCAGCTTCGCGAAAAGAGACCTACTTCCTGT